CTCATTGTAGGGCCCATGGGTCTCTCTTGCTTCTGGCACAGGAAGGAGCTGGGCATGTCAGCACTGGTGGCCCGTGTGGCTGGGCTCTGGGAAGTCTGAACTGAAGTTCTGGGCCCCCAGCGAGTGCCCACTGGGCAGGTGGCAGCATGGCTACAGGCCAGCTACGGAAAGGTACCTTTTTCTCTCTGCAAACTGCGGGTGCGGGTCTGCGTCTGCTTCTCAGGACACTGAGACGAAGTACGTGGGGCTCTCAGCGGAGCAGGGATGCACGGCAGTGGGGTGGGGGTCAGGGCCAAGTGCCCGGGGCCGGCCCAGCAAGGCCGGCAAGTCACGCAGGGCAAAGGGGGAGGAGAGAGGGGATCTTATCCTGATGTTGGCTAAACAGGGGTGAGGCAGAGGCTGATCTGGGGAAGGAGCATTTGTCCACCTGGGTGTGACTCCATCCATGCAGGAAGTGACCGGCTGAAGGTCACCCACGAGTGGGAGGCCAGGCTGGGCAGATGGAGCTGAGGCTGTGGGCTGCGTGATGGGTGGTTATCAGGAAGACCTAATCTTTTTCACACTTGAGCTGCAATGAAAATTCCAAGTTAAACAGGCTGCCTGACCCAGGGAGAGAAAACGCATGCTGGGAAGGGCTGGCCCTAGACACTGCCCAGCCTGGCCCCTATGTCCTGCCATCTCTGAGCAAGGGGATCAAAGGGGGTTTAGCGTTTAAAATGGTTTTCCGTATTTTCCAAATTGTCTGTGATAGCCAGCGATTAGTTTTATAGTCAGAAAAGGACGTTATGATCAATCAAGTTAATCAGACACAGAACAAAACCAAAGTGATCTACACCCCACATGCCTGCCCTGTAAGGAGCTGGTGGAGGGCTGGAAGGAGAGGAAAGAAGCCCAGCTGAAGGATGGGGGGGTCGGGCACAGGGGCACCTGGAGGGCGACAAGGCCAGGCCCCCATCAGGGACAGGCCCCAAGGGCCCTGGGGCGGCAGAGGTCACTGTCGAAATCATGGCTTGGGCAACTTCCCCCTGGGCCTCTTCCTCCAGCCCCACCTACTTCCCCCGAGTGGCCCCAGGGATCCCATGGCCAATCTGGCCCCGGGTCTGACCCCAGGAATTTCCAAATGCCGGAATTCCACAGATTCAAATAGGTTGCATGTGACTTCCTGACCTGTTCCTGGGTGTGGACATGGGGGCCTGGCCACCCCCCATTGCCGAGCGCAGAGACGCACAGGTTGGGCGCCCACCTCGGTACCCCAGGTGCCAATAGGGTGGCGATGCCCTGAAATGCGCCCAGTTGGGCAGATGCTCAGATGACCACCTGTTCAGTATAGATCCAAACCGATCATTGTAAACCCCGGATGTCCCTGAACCGAAGTCAAAGGCTGCAGGTCCAGGGGGTTGGAGGTGACCGGCAGCCCAGCGCACCAGGTCCCCGAGGCCAGGGGGTGCCTTCTTGGAGCAGTGGGACTGAGAGGTACACACTTCTGGGTGCCTGCACTTCCACAAGGTGCAGGCGACCCACCCCCACCCTGCCGTGGGCGGCTGCTCACCTGTTGCCCCCTTCTGTCTGGGAGACTGCTGGGGGGCAGTCCAGGGCACCCCTCTCAGAACCAGGCCTAGCGCAGGATAGTGGGACTTGGCCACCTGCCTCTGTCTCCCAACCCGCAGCAGAGGACAGAGCCCACTGAGTGCTGAGACTCAGGCAGGTCTGAGCGGGCTGCCCCCCCGAACAAGGTGTCTCCTTCCCATGGCCGATTCCCAGGGGGAGCAAGGGAGGTTCCCTAAGAAGGCGGGAGGTGGGAGGTGGGAGGGGAGGAAGCTGCCTCCTTTCCCCATTGCACCACGGCTGGAGTGGGCAGGAAGGCCAACCCAAGAGGCTGGTGACTAACCCCTGCAAGCAGCCCAGAAAAGAAGGCCTGACATGAGCACATGGGCACCTGGGGTCACAGCACTGGATCAGGGCCAGGCGAGCCTAGGAGGCAGTGCACCTGGGAGCTCCAGGTCCCAGGATCATCATTGATCCTGTCGGGAGAAGCAGCTCTTCTGTTCGGGGGTTGCCATGCACCCTAATGCGCATCCTGGGAGTTTGGGAACCCAACAGCAGAACCTGTGCTTCACCAGGAAGTCCTGGCCGGAGTGGGGGGGGGGGGGCGGACCAGGTGGACAGCAGTGTGGCCCGGGGAGTTTGCTTGTCCCGGAAGCTGTACTCCCACAACAGTACAGGACCCCAGACCCCTGTGTGTGAAGACCTCCCTACAGCTCCTGTGTGGTCCGTGTGCGGTGGGGGCTCGACGGGCCTGGGGTCCGAGAGAAGCAGCCGGTCACTGAGATCCTCTGGCACCCCCGAGTCCGTTCCCTTTGTGTCCTCAGCTCCCTAGAGTAGCGAAGAACTCATCCTTCTTGGTCCATGAGCGCCCCCAGGCGACAAAAGATTGAGTCAGAGGAAAAAACAAACAATGACCTTCAAAGCCCCAGCCAGGCATTGGGAACAGGGGACCACCACGGTCCTGAGGACCCTCGCGGAGGCAGACAGCTCAGGGGACAGAGGGACAACATGGCTGAGGGCTGGGAAGGGTGGAGCAGCTGAGGGAGCTGGGAGGAGGGTGTGCTGTGGATAGGTCAAGGCCAGGATTTCCTTCCCAGGGATATCTGGCCTGAGGGGCCCTCTGGGTAGATAGGGGTGCTGTAAGCAGAGGGGGTGTCCATTCTGGCCCAGAGTGGAGTGAATAGGCAGGGAGACCCAGAGAAGGAGGCCCGGGCAGGAGCTCAGTGGGGTGGGATTTGGGGGAGTGGAAGGGGCTGCCGGAGTGGGTGTGACGGGGAGCTAGTGAAGATGACACCTCCCTCTGTTTTGGTGCTTGGATAATGGAGCCACTTCTCCCGAAGGAGAACATGTTGCTGGGGCAGACGGGAGCGAGAATCCCCCTCTGAGACTCCCAGGACACTTTCAGATGCAGAAGCAGAAAGACCTGGGCTGCAGACGGAAGTCTCAGAGTGCTAGGGTGTGGCATGGGGAGCCCGGACAGGTAGGAGGTCACGAGGGGGAATGAGAGGTCAGACAGAGGGAGAAGGAATGCCAGGACTTTTGTAAGGTTGTGACAGGTGCATTTTGGAGCAGTTCACCTTCGTTTCCTCTTACTGAGACAGTGTGGATGGCACAGGGAGGCAAAAGGGACGCCTGAAGCCGAGGCTGTTTCACAGGCCCCTGGAGCTGCTCAGGTGCTGACCTCACTGGCTGGGTCCGAGAGGGGACCCGCCCCGAGCCAAGTGGGGTCTCCCTGCCTCAAATAACTCAGGAAACCAGGATGGCTGGATGCAGAGGATTCAGTGTGTTAGAGATCAGATCAGTGACGCTGGGCTTCTGGGATGTTCCCTAGCGTTCCTGTGTGGGCTGCCAGGAAGACACTCCCTGATGCGCATGGGGTTTTGTCTCTGTGCCTGTGTGCTGTGCCCATAGCTCACCCCGAATGGCTTATATCAGCAGAAATTACCTCTGCATTCTTGTTATATCATGGCACAGCTGGGGACCTGCGCTGTGCCTTTGGAGAACTGATTGGAACCAGGCTTCTTACACTTCTGATGATACCCCCTTAAAGAGGTCATAGGTCCCATGGGATTGGTGGGGACCTGACTTGGGGTGAGCACGGCTTTCTCCACATTCCAGAAAGCCCGCCTGCTGGCCCAACACCCTCACTTCCCAGACGTTCCAAAGAAGGGCGAGCTCTCCTTTCAACCACTCGGTCTGGGAGGCGCTGAGCAGGTGCCAACACTGGGGCGCCCTGACAGGGGCTGGCTTCTGGAGCTCTTCTGGGGACATTCTCTCTGGCCTTAGCTTGGATCCATGCTGGTGTACGCAGGAGCCTTCATCATCTATAATTGTCCTGTCCATGTTGGATACTCCGGAACTGGACAGGCCAGCTCCTGTAGACCCTGAATAGACCTGCTAACAGCCAAAATAGAATGTTGACTTTCCCGCAGCAGGGAGACCACACACCAGGGCAAACACCTTTCCACCCTTCGTGAGAAGGGGTGCCCAGCTCTGTGTGGGGCTATTCCGCTCCAAAGCCCGCCCATTTTTTTGTGGTTGGGTTTCTGCTGGGCTCCTAGATGGGGCTGGAGGAGGCTGCTGTGTGTTCTGTCCTAGCCGAGCCTGGACTCCTGAGTGGCCCGAACAGAACAATAGGGCTCTTTGAAAGTCACATCCATTCAACCGTTCAAGCTTGCTTTCTTGTTTTTCTGAATGGTCCTGGAGCTTCCAAGCACGTCTCCCATTTAAACTGATGACACCATTGCTTTTTGGAGGAAGGGAGAAAAAGAAACATCCATGTGAGAGAGTAGCACCCATTGGTTGCCTCCCACACAGGCACCCAGACCAGGTATCTTTGTGTCCAGACCAGGGGTGGCATGCGCCTGCGCCTGGACAGGGAACATACCCACAACTTAGGTATGTACCCTGGTTGGGAATGGAACCTGCAACCTTTTGGTTATAGGACATGACTCCAACCAATTGAGCCACACCTGCCAGGGCTAAAAGGACTGTCTTTTGAGGAGTAAATGAAATGCTGTAATACAAGATGGATACAAAGTAAAGGTTCAATCACAGTTAATAAAACAAATGGACTAGCTCAGGCAGGGGTTGTTGGGGCTTCTCTTAGATTCAGCCATATTCAGTCTCAGATCTCCTGGGTCACCTCTTCTGATAATATGCAGGCCCCGGCCCCAGCCTTTTAATTTTATTTCTCCCCCTGAGACTGTATCAAAGGCACAAGGGTCATGTGACAAACACACTAGTGTGTTTACAACAAGCTTGTTCCATCTAGCGCCACATTATCATACCCAAATCGCAAGGGCAGCTTGGATTCCAGAAATTAGACCGTATCAGCCTGGGAGGCGGGGCGTTTAGGGGGCGTGGCGGATAAACGGCCACGCCCCTCCCGAGCGACAACACGGTCGCTGCTGGGAGGGTCTCGGAACCCGGGCGTCTGGGCTCCGGTTTCCTCCGGGCGGAGAGAGCGCAGGACCGGTTTCCAGCAGGCTCCACCTCGTGCACCCCGCTGCTTCCGGCCCGCTGTGGTTCGCACTCTGAGACATGGGGAAAGTGAGGGGGCTGCGAGCCCGAGTGCACCAGGCTGCCGTGAGACTCACGGGGCAATCCGCACCCGGCCTCGCTCCTCCGGCCGTGGAGGCGGCCCCACCGCAGGCCCCGGCCGGCGGAGTGGGGAAGAAGGTAAAGTAGGGGCCGCGGGCGGCCGTCACGGCTGGGGTGTGTGTGGAATGGGGATGGCTGGGATGGGGGCAGGGTCGGCGGGGGTGGGTGGGGGCGCCGCACTGTGTAGCCTGGGGGGTCGTGCGCTGGCTGTGGCCCTGTGGTTCCCCACCTGCGTGCCTTCTGGATCCGCGACGTTTGGTGGCCTCCAGGTTCATTTCACGTTGAGACAGCGGATGAGAGGTTGACTTTTCCCCGCGCCTTGAGCTGCAAAAAATGTAACTTGGGGCATTTGGAACAAGCCAGAGACAAAAAAGCCACAGGCAAGTCCAACAATGTAAAGGAGTTATTTTAAGGAAAAAAAAAGAAGGAAGTTGGAGAGGTTGTTTTGAACAAAATGCCATTGAAGAAAAGGACGAATTTAGGGTGGTGATGGTTTCTCATTGGCCGAGACCCTGGGGAGTCCGTTTCTTGCAGGGGATGCCTTCTACAGCTTTTCCTGTTGGGCTTGTGGTCGGTGATGCCTCCCCGTGGAGGATTCCTCTGCTGGGGTGTGTGAGTGACTGTGTTCTGTGATCAGGTGTGTGCTGGGTGGAGCTCCCCTGCTGGCCTGGTCACTCCGTCCCAGGCAGGTTCCCCTGCATCTTCATGTCTTAAGGCTTTTCCGTGAACTTATTTCCACTGATTTTTCTGTCATGCTCTCTTCTTTTTCTCTCTGTCCTTCAGATGGCATCATCTCCATCGATCTGTCTTCAAATTTGCTGATTGTTTCTGCTGGTGGTTCAGCTCTAGTATGGAACCTCTCGAGTGAAATTTGATCACCGTGTGTTCTGATTCCAGATTTTATTTTATGTTTTAATAGTGTCTCTCTCTTCCTGATAGGCTCTGTTTGGTGAGATGGCATCATACGCCCCTGCAGTTCTGTAGACAGTGTCCCTTCTAGAGCTGTGGCCTCATTTGCAACAGCTGTTTTGAAGTCTTAGTGAGTCCAACGTGCGGGCCCCTTAATGCAGCTGCAGCTACCTCAGTCACGCTTTTCCTGTTTCTCTGCGCGGGTCATACTTGGTTGCTGTGGAAAACTGGACATGTGGGAAGTGCACTGTGGCACCCCCAGGGGACCGACGCTGTTTGCCTGGTCTTTTTACTTGGGTATTGGCCTGGCTCTGAACTGTGTGCAGCCTCCAGCGTGCAGCCTTTGGTCTTCTTGCTCGTATTTTTGTTGTTGTGGTTGTTTTAATCTTTGCACCAGGCTTCCTGGATCAGTATAAGCCACTATTGGTCAGAGTGGGGGTAAGCCCCTCCCTCGTCCAGTTAGGTTTCTGTCCTTCACCACTGGATGCGTGTGAGGCCCACATGCTGCTTTCACTGTTGCGAGTTTGTCTTTGACCCACCTTCAGCCAGGGACTGGAAGTTCTGACTTTCCCCTGATCGCCCCTGAGCCAGCGTGGCATAAGCCTCTCAGCCTGCAGAGTGTCAGGGGTGCTCTCCTGCAGGTGCTACTGGGCTAGTGCCCGGGATCGTCCAGCCAGCACGGGCTCAGAGCTTGTGCCTGGGCCCTGTGCCTGGGGTCCTTCGCCCTGCATGGTGTTTGCTCGGACATGCTTTCCAGGGTGCCCATCCAGCAATGGGTGCAGCCTGGATCCCAGGGTGCAGCCCAGACCGCAGGGTGGACTGTGGTCCCGGGAGGGCTCTTGGCTGTTTTTGTGGTGTTCTCTCTGTTACACTCTGTGTGCGTGGCCAGGTGGCTGGTTGCTGCCAGCACTGCGGTGCTGTGAGCTGCACAGTCTGCACGGATCCCCAGTGTCCCACGCCACCCTTAGCACAGGCTTTTCCTCATTCTGTCCTGATAGAGCCAGTTCTCTCCTCGGAGGGTAGGGGCGGCTTCAGCTTCTCCCTGGTGACACCCCTCTCTGCAGGTGGAGCTGGGAGGTGGCCCTTAATCTCCTTGGCTTGTGGGTAGCTTCACTCTACGAACTGGGCAAGGACAGTCAGAACCCAGGACCCCAGACCTTCCCTGCTTAGGGTGGAGTGTCTGCCCGACAAGTGAGGGGGGAGGGGGAGGAAAACTCTGACTCTCTGGCCTTACCTTCTTGGAATAGAGTCTGCGCAACTTGGTGGGGTGAGGGACTTGCCGGCTGCTGCCTCCACGCCCGGGAAGCCATAGCCACGGACTGGGAACTGGGGGAAGGGGTAAAGCTCCTACGGTAGCTTCCGATATGCCATAGATTCTTTCTGTTGTTAATAAGACTTGTAATTCTCACGAGTTAAATGGTAGTTGGGGAGATGGTCTGCCACACCCCCAGCCCCAGCTTTTATTTCCCGGGCTGGCCAGGTCAGGTGGGATTCCCTCAGCAGGTAAAATCGCGCCGGACCCGAGACTGCAGTTCAAATGACAAGGAAGCAAGCCGCCGTGAGTGAGAGTCAGCAGGCAGAGTAGGCCCGGCAGTGGACGGCCCTGACGTCAGAAACACAGTCACAAGACAGGGATTGCGAAGTAGCTCTGCCCACGGTGTGAAAGACATGAGGCACCAAACAGGAGAGAGGGAAAAAGAAAACCTTGCCAAGACGAGGCGGACTTGGAGACAAAAGGCAATAAGAAGACTTTGTATTAAAAAAAGTGTGGCCATGGAATTTTAATGTGGAATAATTGGGCAGAATTCTGATTTCTAGTCACATGATGACACTGTAAACTGTGCAAAAGCATCGGCACCTTTTATATTAAGCTCCCGAAGGTGAAGCAGTGAGATAACAGGCACACTGTGGAAAACGCTGAAGTGACAGAGAGGAGTCGAGTGTCAGTGTGTACAGACTTCCGTGTGTGACCGGGGGCTCCGCTTTGCGGGGCGGTGCCAGCTGAAGTGGCCTTCCCCTCTGCCCGGCGTCCCCCAGGCTCCTCAGTGCTCCGCATGTGGGTTCTCTGAGGTCTCTTGTTCACCACACCAGACACGTCCCCAAGAGTTAGGGCTTCTGTCAGGCACTCTGGGTGGGTGCATTTAGCCCGGCACCATCTTGGTGCTCAGGCCAGTTTCTGTGCCACCCGCATCCTGTCCATTGGTGTGTGACTCCCCGGGGCTGGGTGCTGAAGTCCCTGCCGAGGCACCTGTCCGGGAGCTTGGCCCTGGAGTGAGCTGGATGTGTGTGGGAGGCGGGTCCTGGATGAGCACGTGTGATGCGCAGTGACGTGGAGGGTTGTGAACCCTGATGCAAGGAAGAAGGCGGGTTGGAAGCAGACCTGGGAGAGGCAGTGCCGAGGGGGAGGAAGGGACGTAAAGCGGGAGAGTGCCGGAGGAGTGAGAAGATGCAGGGTTTGGGGGGAGATCCCGAGTCTGGTCTGAGATGGTTCTTAAGCCAGGAGCCCAGCCCCCTGGTGATTGAGGTGGGCAGAAAGGGGTCACTGTAGGGCTCTGGGGTCTGAGCGCTGAGGGTCTTGGGCTCCCCTGCTGGGCCTGGGGAGTGAGGACAGGTTCCCAGGTCCTTCTCCTTGGGTAGCCGGGCCAGTCCCTACGCAGCTTGAGGCCCTCGCCTTGGGGTCTCCCTACGTTTTGATGGGCCTTGAATTTCACCACGAAGCCATGTATCGAGTCTTACATGGTCTTCTTTCTTTCATTTGTAGGAGTGGGCTTTTGTGAACACCGACATCTTTGCCAGGACCCAGATAGACCCCGGCACCTTGGTGCAGAAGCTGGACCTGGACGCGAGGAGCGTCGCTTCCATCAGGAGAGGTGAGAGGGTTTGGCTGTTTACAGTGCCGGCTGGCTTTGAGTTGTTCATGCACAAGGGTCAGGGCACGTTTCAATTGTCTATGCATTTTTTTAAAAAGATTTTATTTATTTTTAGAGAGGGAAGGGAGGGGGAAAGAGAGAGAGAGAAACATCAATGTGTGGTTGCTGGGGGCTGTGGCCTGCAACCCAGGCATGTGCCCTGACTGGGAATCAAACCTGCGATGCTTTGGTTTGCAGCCAGCACTCAATCCACTGAGCTACGCCAGCCAGGGCTTGCCTGTGCATTTTAAAAAGGTTTATATTAATGGGGAAATTTAAGATTTATTAAAAACTAGAAAAGAATGGTGTAAAGGAATCCCATGTGCCCATCAGCCACCATCAGCACACCCCTACCGCGTTATTTTGAAGCTGTCAGTTTGCTTCATGGTTCGTTAGTGTCTGTTTCTGAGGGCTCTTAAAAAAAGCTGTCTACAATGCTGTTATTACAGCTGAGCAAGTTAGCACTCATTTCTTCTTATCAAATAAACACGCAGTGCCCACATCTTCATGATGCCTCGTAAAGCTTCTTTGTACAACTCAGGGCGCACACGAGGGCCCACACTGCACAGCCACCCCTCCCGACCTTTTTCTGTTTGTTTCTTGATCCAGCCGAGCTCTCGGCCAGAGCTTTCACCTGAGCATCCCCGGAGGTGGAGAGCGGCTCTACTCCCCTTCGCTGCCCCGGGGTGGCGTGAGCTCTCTCAGACTGGGAGGGTGCACCACCCAGTCTGGAGAGAAACCCTGAGGCTGCCGCTGAGGTGTGAGCTGCACGTGTACGGTTGAGCATTTAAAACACTGGAGGTGTCTAACCTCGTGCAGAGCCCTCAGGCCCTGGGGGCAGGGCTGCTTCGCCTCGTCTCTCTGTAACCCCATTGTACTTGACCGTCTTTCTGTAACCCCACTGTACCTGACCGGCACACCCGTTCCTCTGATTCCTGCCCACTGCACGCCTCATCTCTGAACTCATACGTGGCTGTCCTGTGTGTCTCACTGCTTTATCAGTCTCTGTGTTCTCACAGTTGGTTCTCTGGTGAAATATGTATAGACTGTTCTTGCTGGGTGACTAAGCAGCACCCAGATTTTTGTATCATTTTCCAGGTTCCCATCATTGAAACCAGGTTCCCAGGTTTCATTGGCTTGACTTGTGAGGTCTGTCCAGAAAAAGGTCCAGGCATTGTTAATGTAATGAGAATGGTTTGCTCAGCGTCGATGTAACCTGGCAGCCAAGGAGAATAGACTGGAATACACACGTGTGAGCAATCACTTGACTGTACTAGTCAGTGGGGGTGTTAGACCCACTGAATGAGCATGTGTACTATGTGGCTGTCACATTCAAAATGACTGAGCGAGTAGAGCAGCGAATCTGCATCACAGTTTGTGTTAAGCTTGAACATTCCTCCACGGAAACTATTCAGGTGATTCAGAAGGCCGCAGCTATGGCAACTGGTGGTGATTGGCAGCTTTATCACGACAATGTGCCCGCTCAAGCATCATGTCTTGTGCAGAGTTGTTGGTGAAACATCAAGTCACCCAGGTGACTCAGCACCCTACAGCCCAAATCTGGCGGCGCCCTGTGACTTCTGGCTTTTCCACAAACTAAAATCACCTTTGAAAGGGAAGAGATTTCAGACCGTCGATGAGATTCAGGAAAATATGACAGGGCAGCTGATGGTGATTAGGAAAACTGTGTGAGGACCCAAGGAGCCTACATTGAAGGGGACTGAGGTGTCATTGTCCTGTGTACAATGTTTCTTGTATCTTCTACAATAAATATTTCTGTTTTTCATATTACATGGCTAGACACCCTCTGGACTGACCTCATGTATCAGGCATCTTTTGTGGGGTAATGTTTACTTACATCATTGCTCTGGATTTTCGTTATGTCACTGGGGAGGTGTATCTGACTGTCCTTGCCGTTCTTTGTGCATTGAAACTGCAGAGAGCAGACATTTCCCCCCTACTCTCCTAGGGAGCCTGCAAATTAGGTTCATAAAAGACAGACCAACGAGAGAAAAGCAGTTTGCTAATGTGTGCAGTGCATGTCACGTGGACGAAACAGTGATGATGAGCAGCTCAAAGGGCAATGAGAACCTGGCTTCTGTAACATTGTAGCAAAGAGCAGCACACTTACAGTCTTGCAGGGCCCAGACTGTGGGAAGGTAAATATGTGGGAATGAATGGAGGAAGGTGCTTGGAGAGGGAACTGCTGGCAGTCCTCATTTTGCAGAAGTTTCTTTAGTGAGCGCCGTGGTCAAACCGTTGTCTGTGTTCACTGATTCTCTTACAGCTTGTCTGGGTATTTGGGGCAGTTCTGATCGCCTTTCTAAACCTTGAATGAGCGCTTTATGTATGATTGTGGTTAGATATTTGGCATTTCATACAAAAACTAGGATCTTTTCAAATTGCTGAGACAGGTATTCCACCTGAGAGCTACAAATGCTGTCTTCTGACAGTTTCCAGTGGCGGCTGTTCCCGCCTCTCCTGCCTGTCACCCTGGGCCCTCCCTCCTTCCTGCCTCCCCTGGCGGGTGTGGGGCCGAGGCTGCCTTCTGCCTGTGGGATGGGCCCTGCCTTGTTGGGCCGGGTTGGCGTTTGCCTTGCCTGTTGGCAGTGCATGCACCCAGAAGGAGAAGCCACCTGTGCACAGCCAGTGTCCCCGAGCAGTGTGCAGGGAGTGGGGGCGACAGAGCATTAGTTTACAGTCACAAACCTGAGTTGGAGTCCTGGTGTTGTGCATTGTTGGCTGTTGGATTTGGGGGCATCTGTGTAGCTTCCCAGGACCGTTACTTCCTCGTGCGTCAGGTGAGTGTGGCATCTGCCAGCAGGTGTGCTGCGTGGGCCTCCCTGAGGGTCCTTCTGGGCTTCTTCGGTTGTGCTGCCCAGCGGTACTCCCGTGTCAGTGAGGGGCTGGCCTACTTTGTCCCCTTTCACAGACAAGGATGCAGTGCTGGGAGAGGCCAAGCCCCATTGTGGGCGCTGGCCCCTCAGAGCTGTGAGGCCCCAGCTGGGAATGGGAAGGCCCTTGGGACCTCCCTCTGGCACTGCTGGGTGGCTCTCTGCAGGGCATCGGCATAGCTGCACCTGCACGGAGAGAGGAGCCAAAGCTCTGCACTCCCCTTGAGGTCGCCCCAGGTCAGCACTAGCACCGTGGGGGCCTCGTCCCAGACCTGGTGAACCTTGTTTTCACACACCCTTCAGGGGTCTCTGATGCTGCCAAGTGTGGAACCCTGGCCCGGGCCCAGTGGGTCCTGCTTGGCAGCTACAGGAACACAGTGGCCGTCTCATCTCTCGTCTCCGTGCAGATCCTGGGGCCCAGACAGGCCCTGTGGTTCTGCGCTGTGCTCACTCAAGTACTTCCTGGTCTCCCGATCAGGTCCCACAGCTGCTGGGGCTCCCGATGGAGCCCCCCAGGTGTCCCCAAGGTGTCCAGATGCTCCGGGTTCCTGGTGCAGGTGTCTGTGCCTCGGCCTCTGCCCTACCTGAGCCTCCCTCTTCAGCAGCTGTTCAGTCTGGCCTCCTTATTGGCCACTGCCTGGATCTGGAACAGTGAGCTTAATTGTCCCCAGGCCTGAGCTGGGCCTGGTGGCTTGGGACAGGGGCAGGTCATGTGGAAAGCGGCATCTGATGACTCATGCGCTAGCTGCTCAGTGATCTCCTGGGCAAGGCGAGGGCGCCCGTCTGCCTGGATTAGCGCAGACAGGTCCTTCCTTCGGGCCTTCGCCCTGGCCTGAGTCACAAATAGAACTGCTCCCCATGCCTCTGCTGCTGTGTCTGTGCCTTGCAGCCCGTGCGCACTGGGAGAGGCTGAGCCCACTCACAGGGGAGCCTGGCCTGGTTGTGAGGCCCTCGCAGCTCATCCACCACCAACCTAACTCCCCCTTGCGGATGACTCCCAGCCACCACCAGCCAAGCTTGGCTTTGCCCTGCGGGTCAGGGCCCCTGGGCTCGTGGACCTGTCTGTGAAGCAGCTTCCGGGGTCCTCTGTGTCCTTTCTTGGCGTGGGGGCTTGACGTGTGTGGCAGTGCGTCCCTCCCCCACACAGGTCGCTTCTCTGCCATTCTACTTCTAGTCCTATATTCCTTGAATGCTGGGCAGTGGCAGAGAACAAGCCCGCTCAGTTCTCAGACAGGTACCTGGGGTGCGGCACCAGTACTCCATCCCGGGGCCTGGGGGGCGCTGCCAGCCCCAGACTCATGCGGGAGGGGCGGGCAGGGTAGGATGGGCCTGCAGGAGGACAGGCCTGCGTAGGGGCACAGGAGCGGAAGGACGGGAGGGGGGAGCCTCAGCATTGCCAGCACGCTGGACGGCTTGGAGCACCAGGGGGCTGTGCTGGAAGCGTGTCTGCTGGGCTCTCTGGCGGGAGAGGTTGGGGAGTGGCCGCGGCGAGTGGACAAGGAGGCCACAGTGGAGGGACTTTGCTGCAGGGACACTGGGGACGTGTGCACCTGCCTTCTCTGTCTCTAGGCCTGTGCTGCTGAGACGCCCGCATCCCACAAGCAGAGAGACCGAAGTAGCGTGCCTGCGCTTTCCCTGTTTCCTTCCCCTGTGCCTCTGACCCACTGCAGGGGTTTCCTTGGAAGTGGGAGGCAGGCGCAGGCTCAGGCGCAGGGCTGCTCAGCAGAGGGCGGCAAAGCTGCGTCTCCTCCAGCCCAGCTCAGGTTGCAGAGGCCCGTCCTGCCTCTGGAGGGGCGCTGGGAAGGCCGGGCTCCAGCACACCGGGAACCCGAGGGCTTCCCAGGGGTTGTTCAAAGGTTTTCCCACAAACCCCCTCGAAGGCCCTTCCCACCTTTCCTCCAGCCTTGCAGTCAGGGTTGCACAGACTCCACCCGACAGCCTCCCTTCCTCGCCTCCACCCCCCTCTGCAGCTGTGAAAGGGGAACTAACCAGAGTAGGGGAGGTGGAGAGGGAATCACTGCGTTGGAGGAGCCAGTTCTGGACAGACCACCTGGCGTTGCTTGTGGC